CAAACCAAACGATGTTAAATAACAAACCAAACGATGTTAACAAAATGACGTAGAAAGCGCAACTAGATCAAAATTATACAAGCACAACTAGATCAAATTATAATACCTGAGTGCTTGACGTAACAGATATAGAAATAGAATTTGATACCATAAAAAATTATATAGAAATAGAAATTGATACCATAAAAAATTTATTCGTTTTCGTGTTCTTTTCATGTATTTAGCATTTTAGTTTTTTTTTTCTTAAGCGTTGTAGCTATATAATTTCAAACATCCTCAAGAGCTATAACACATCTGCAGCAGAACTGGATATGAAGACAAAATTGCAGGACAGGAACACTTTAATTGTCCACTAATCTTCAGATTTCCTGCTACGTTTTAAAAAACTTTATTTGTGAAAACCTTCAGCGTGGCGGACAGCTGGCCGCCTTAGGCGGCTAGTATAAAATAAAATCATTAATTTTAGATAATGAAAATCATAATTGCGATGAAAAGGAGCCTTTTCAATATTTTATCATTCAACTCAGTATTTGCATTTCAGCGGGCGCAGTTCAGTTGATTTAAGTAGATCGGCAAAGAAAGTTTTTCTACTTCCAAGTTTAGCAGTTGATAACTCTACCTCGAATTAATAGTAGAATCTCACAGTCTTATAGATTTTTCTCAGCAAAACAAAATGTAGCGATAAGCAAATAAAACACTTAAAAGTAACTTTTTTAAAAAAAATTGGAATTTCGAAGAACAAGAAAAAACTCTGTAATGTTCATAAAGAAAAATGACATTTTCTGTATACCTAATTTCAACTCCCATTCCCGTGGCCTGCAAAGAGGTCCGCATGGTATTTTTTACGTCAAATTTAACAGTTAATAATTCTCAAACTAATTATCGAGTATTTACTTTTCTTTTATTCCAGCGTGCTCCCTGTGCATTTTCCCACACTCACCTTCATAATTTTAAGCCCTATTAGGCCTAAAAGATTTCGCGCAACGAAACAACATGGGACGTTGAAGTGAATAACTAAAACAACGTTTGCCATTTTAATTTTTCTAATATAGAGAGAAAGTTTAGTTAAGGGTTATTATTTCATATAAGGTAAAATAAAAACATGCGTAACAAAGAAAAAAATATTTTTATCGTAACTCATGCCCGAGCGGCGAAGGTGTTAATTACGCCACAATACTATATTAATCTAGTTGCTACAGAAGCATTAAAACCGCTAGGCTTCGATATCGAGACAAAATATTTTACTAATTTTAAAAAAGTTCGAATCTTAAGGACCCCTACGACCCTTCCGTGAAGCCTAACGGTTTAGGAACAGCTGACTTAGAAAATGTTAAGCCACTTTTAGCTAGTCTTATAAGACTGTTTTTCTTTTCAATAATATTTTTTTATTCTGAATTGTTTCTTTAATTGCATTATTATCGTTTTTATTTACGGAAATTATTTTTTTTTCTGAATTATATTTCAATTGTATCGTTGTCGTGGGTGGGGGGTTCTTCACGATTTCTTCGAAGTTATTTTTTTACTATAAACAGATTGTGACCTTTGAATTAAAAAGTATTCAGTATTAAAATGATTAAAGTATTAAAATGATTTATTGCCAAAAGGTGTTCAATGAAACAGTAGGGTTCCCTAGAAATTTGACAGGGGTTCCAAGAGTTAGGCTTTTTTTTTCTAACCATGTTTGATTTTCTGAAACCAGATTTTTTATTTGTTACCAACCTATGATCCACAATTTATTTAATGTATTGGTCATTCTTATGAAATTATTTATGCAAAATGCAATGATAAATCATAGCGAAATTTTTAAAAAAACAACATATTTTTTTACGACAGTAATGTATTAAATAAATTACTTAAAAGATACTACTACAAATAGTGCATAATTATTTTTCATCTAGTTTTTCAATTCAAAATAACTTAATTTTAGTATTTGAGAGTTGTTTATCACTAATAACCGTTCTCGTGGTTAATATCAGTTTCTTTCTTCAAAAACCATAAATCAGCTTATTTTATCCAATTTCAGTTTATGCATAATCCAATTTCATAACTGGAAGCCGCTTCAGATCTGTGAATTTAACGACGAGACTTTTAACCTAATTCTAAAACTGCTATAAAAAATCGATTCCTCACATTCAAATTAATTTGTAGTCTTTTGTTTCAGTTAGAATATTCACAGTTACTAATTAATTTTATTTATTAAGTCTGGGTTCCATCAAAAGAAGGTTGATTATTTAATGGTTCCATAGCCCGAAAAAGTCAGGAACCGCTGGTTTACTCTATTAACAACGATTTTGTTCCACAAATTACTTCTACATTTTCATTCAGAGACTTATTTCTTTTCTTTTTCTCTTCTTTTTCCTCTTTTCACTTTTTTTAAACTCTTTCTCTTTTTTCCTTCTTTTTTTCTTTTTCTTTTTCTATTCCCTTTTTCTTTATTTCCTTTCTTTTTTCTCTTCTTTTTCTTTTTTTCACTTTTTTTTAAACTCTTTCTCTTTTTTCCTTCTTTTTTCTTTTTCTTTGTTCTATTCCTTTTTTCTTTATTTCCTTTCTTTTTTCTCTTCTTTTTCTCTTTTTCGTTTTCCGTAACTTTTTGGTTTCTATAAAAACTTGTTAAATATTTTTTACCAAATTCAATACTTACCAACAGTGAGAAAATTAAAGTCAATGCTAAATATTTATTTCGCGTTCATTATTCGAATGCATATGTTGGCTCAGCACAGTTTTAAGTGAAATTTATAACAAATATATCTACTTAAAAAAATAATAATTAATTTTAAAGCTTTGAAATGGTAACTAATCATCTTCATAGTAAAATGGTGCTTTAAAAATAATAATCATGTGATAATTTTATAACATAATTAAAAAAAACAATACTTTTTTTCAATAGTTACTAAAATTCAAAGATAAACTGCGAATAGTAAGTAGTTAAAAGGAAAGATAAATAAATAATGTTGTTTAATACCGTTGAAAAAGCGATAAATAAGTAATTTAAAGGCTGCACAAATATTACGTAATCATGTTTTTGGTACTTGAGGACTCCCCCATGTCACAAAAATAAATATATAAATAAATAAAAAGCCAATTGCAACGCCTCTCCCATGAATACGAAAATAAGAGGCGGCATTCTTCGCTTTTAGTTTAACTCTACTATAGTATTATTATTTTCAAGAATTTTTTGGGATTCAATTCAAATAAAGGATGTAACTTTGCGTAATACAAAATTTAAGAATTTGTTTTATAAGATTATGAAAGTCTTGGAAGAGTTTTTTGTTCAACTTTTTATTTCTTCAATTATAACTCTTGGGCCAGGACAGCCTGCTTGGTAGGGCACTGGGCCCATGTCCAAGAGGTCGTGGGTTCGTCCCTTGCCGGCCGAAGACTGCCCGTGTAGTAAATGGTGACTGATGCACGGTAAATCTGTAGAATCTCAAAGTGCCACATGTTCCCAAAACAAATCCAACTGATCCAGGAGATTCCTTGTCTTCTGGATTGGTTCAAAATGACAAGGCTACGGAGTTGAACATTAGTAGTCATAAACCCATAATTTTGTCGGCTGTTCAATGATGGTTGTAAAATAAAAAAAATTTTAAAATATAACTCTTATACCAAAATTAAAATATTTAATACTGTAAAATTTTCAAAAAATATTTTTTTTACATTTATTTCATATATTTGTTTATCTAAAAAATATTAAATGTTAACGGATTTTAGAGTCTTGCTTAAGGATTTCTCATACACTTCTTTATTAGCAGAATTAAGCAAACCTCAACCCATTTCTCCCTCTTAGATGCTTACGTAATTTTTTAACACTCTCTTGTAGGTAAACACCGTATTAACACCTCATTAATTTTATACTAGTGACTACCAAAGATTTTCGAATATTTTTTGTTATTTAAGGATATTTTAATTTTTATTTATTTTATTTTATTTTGCCGAACAAGAGTGCACTGACAACAATGAAAAGCAGTTTCAGATCAATACCTTTTGATGTTTTAGATACGAAACGATTAGCACATAAAAACATCTAAATATCACTCTTATCATTCGCTGACTCAGTGCACTTAACCGTATAATCATCTGAATTTCTAAAAATCACGTATTTACTCAAGTTTCAATGACGATTATTGTTTCAAAACCTGAGTTCGTACAACCAGTTGAATTTTTAGTATTAACAAAATAGAATTTAAAATATTTAGGCTAGTATATTTCATCAAATTGCAAAGTGGGGTAATGAGAAATTTAGTAGGAAGTAATTTTTGTCAGTGTTTTACATTTAACTATAAACACATAAAGCTTATGAACATAATGGATGGAGAGAATGAATTTAATTAAAGTAGTTACCGTAACTTAATTAACGTTGAACAATAAACACATGAAGTTTGCATAAAGAGCGGAGTTGTTGTTTAAGTTGATAAGTTGTTTAAAAAAGTGTAACTGAATTGTTAACACAGAATGTGAAACTTCTAATCATTAACATCGGATTTGATGGATTAAATAGTACTTTTAAAAAGTTTTACTATTTGATTCACATACAATGATAAACACATAAAGTTTAATGTAATGGTTTATTTCCAGTACCGTCTGTTGAATTTCGTAAGAATTAAGCTTGGTTAGAATAATTGTTTTGGTTTCCCCAGCAGACGGCAGCGAACCGTTATATTTTTATCTATTCCCTTTTTTATTGATTTAATTTTTAAATTCGTTCTTTCTGAGGGCTTCTGATATTTATCCACGCGTTAAATCAACTGTTTTCTTTTCCTTTCGAAAAGTTTAAGCTATTATGAGCTAAGCTATTACTCCTTTCTTGAGTTAAGCTATTATTCCTTTTGAAAAGCTACAATGAATATTTGATAATCAGAGTCAATATTGAAATAGTTTACTCTTCTCTGAAAAGTATTGAAAAAAAGAGAACATTTTTGAAACGCAGTATCCAAATTATCATTTTTGTTGTTATTGCAAAACTGTATATTTAATTATACACATTCATATCTTTGTTTTAGGTTCTTGCGATTCTCGTAGCATCATTTCCTCTGATAACAGCACAATTCCCATTTCCGTTCCGAAATCAAGGATTTAGGAATGTGAGGACACCTCTTACAACATCAGCTTCGAGACAGATGCCTTACCTGTCCATCCCGATTGTGCTCATGCCTGATGGTCAAATGGTGCAAAAGCCGGGTCCCATTAACTACAAGTACTTAGGCGACACTACTCCCCTCATGTCGAAGCAAGTTCTGAAATCTCATGCTACGGTCATCGAAGACACTTCTCCTCAGTACCAATTTTCTTTGACACCACCATCTCATACACAGAGCAAGATGCCCGACGCCACCATTTACACTGGTGCATCACAAAAACATTTACGGAACGCCGATACCATTCACTTAAGCAGTCCTATCAACACTCAAGTTATTCACTCATCCCAATTTCAGCTCCAGCGCCAAAGAAATAACCCTAGTCAGCAACATCTCGTATTAAACGCTCATCATTTTCCGTCAAAACAGCATGTTGTTAATTTTCTAAATTTCGCTTCTCAGATTGGCAGCAATGTTCTCGCCAAACAGCAGGAAAAAGACATCCCCACTCAACAAGGTTCTGTCCATCAGGAGAGTCCACTCAAGAAGCTTCCAAACCATGAGAGTTACATTGTTCAAGGAATTTCTTACGCACAAGTGCCAGATAAAGCTCCCGCTTCTCAACAACAAACAGGTTCGCATAGTGCGCAAGTTGTTCAAAATTTACCGCTTTACACTTATAACAATCAACAACAAGGACAGCAGAACCAAAACCAAGTTCAGTTTGTTGTCCCTCAGCAATATACCGAAAGTTCTGACCCCAAGCATCCGTTTCAAGGGATTCACTTACAGGGAAGCATTCCCAACACGCAAGAAGTTTCCTCTCGCGTTGTTGCAGACGGACAAAATAACTATAATAAAATAAACGGTCACGTAGCACGCAATCCAGTTTCTCAACAAACAGAAAATCCTACAAAACAGTCACAGATCAGCTATAACCCTCAATATCAGTCTATTATATTACAGCCACAAAGTGGACACGTTGCAACCAAAAATGGTGGTTCTGAATTGCATTTTAACAGACCAGTGCAATTCAATCATCAATCGTACCACAGGAATCCTCAAGAAGCTCAGCCTAATCCTGCCAGTATTCAACAACAATCTTTGGTGATTCACCCTCAGCAGCCAAAAGCTGTAAAACCGATTAATTCCTTTCAAGCCAGCCCACATTATGTGGGACACGTCCATGACGAAAGAAATTTTGCTTCTGTCCAAGCATCACAGGATGGAACTTACAGTTCTGAGACAAATAACCCACAGATACACTATAAGAGTTCCGAAGTACCCAAGCAAGAAACTGTGCCAGTACAGCATTCGTTCGATTACTCTTACGTTGTCAACTCCAATCCTAATCTCGATGGACACCCAAGGCAAAGAGATCTGATCAGTGGTTACGAGAACCAAAGATCAGTGGGAAGCATTCCGGCTACTCATCATTACGCTGGACAACCTGATTTGTCTGTGTATCAAAGCCAAACTGGTTCTTTTAGCCATTCCCAACAGGAAAACCGACAACCGCATCAGATTGATTACACTTCAGTGGCAGTAGATGACAAGCAGGAAGCTGTGACTGAAAACGAAAAAACATACTATACTACTTCATCTAAAGATACAAACTACACGCCCAAAAATCAACACGATCTACCAACTTACGGTCATCTTCCAGCGAGTGATCAGCGATCAAAGGTTGCTGAAACAAATGGGCATCCGACTAAAGAGACCTCGAAGCAGGATACGGAAACAGAAGAAGAGACTGATTACAAAGTCGTGTATATTCCTCTCGATATATTGAAAAACATTTTAGGAAACAGCGTGGATGGACAAAAAGTTGAAAACGTCAGTTGAATCCATGTTTCAAGGAATACAAAGGACAGTAAAACATGACTTTTGTGGTGTTAGGCTAAAATTGCTGGTCAACTCCTTATAACCCGAAGTCATTTATTGAAGAAACTGAATGCACGAGTCTCTCTTTGGGGGACCGTTTTCAATAAATGCGATTCACGCCCCTCCAGTGGCTATCCAGAGAGAAGGAGAGCCTGATTTTTTTGTGCGAGAATTCTTTTCACCAATTCGATTCTCTGTCGATGGTAATTGGAGTTGTGTAGAATCGCATCGAGTGAGAATGTCCCTTTACAACGAAGAAATAAAAATAATTATTTTTAAAGTTTTCATTTCACTGGTTGCAAATTTTGCAACAAAACTACTAAAAAAAAGGACTTTTTTTATATTCTCAGTCAAAGAGAGAGACAGAGAAACAGAATTCACAGAAAAGCGATTTAATTAAAATATCAATTAAAACGTTTCACAATTTCAAGCAATTGAAAATGGTGGGTGATGCTTCCGTGAATGAACTTTTACGTTGGCAATAGAGGCAATAGAAATAAAGAAATTAAATAATAAACCTATGATTGCGCTTGCAGTTTTTAAAAATCACTTCAATTGCGAATATTCGTTTCAACTCAAATTTTCTGCTTTAAAAAGTGTACAGTAATCGAATGGGACGGACGTTCTTGTTTTCTTTTTCCCATATTTTCTCTGAGTCTTATAAAATGAGCAAAAAGATGGAAGTCTTTCAAAAAAAAGAAGAAAAAGACATATATATATATATATATATATATATATATATATATATATATATATATATATATATATATATATATATATATATATATATATATATATATATATATATATANTATATATAAATTTTTTCATATTTTCCATAAAAATAAATGGTATTATTAAATAATTAATAAGTCATACAAATAATGTTTCTGCATATTTTCTGTAAATATTACATTAAGTCATTTAATGTTGAATAATCACTTGTAGAAATGTGCATTCTTATCTGATCCAAAATAAAGTTAAGAATTATTGCATTGTTTGTTGCTATGTGTTTAAAATATATATGTGTAAATTTAGGGTGCAAACCGAATGTGGCGCTTAAAGGGTCATTGTGCAGCTCAATCCATACTGACAAAAAATAACAGGAAAGAAATTTATATTACTTTTACTTGCTTCTTAAAATCATGTATTAATCAAAGTAATATATTATAATAATATACTAATGCATAAATCATAAAATATATTACTTTTACTTGCTTCTCAAACTATTTTCACAGTTTTAAAAAAAAAAAAATTTTTTTTTAAAAAAAAACCGTGATCGACAAAGAGACGGATATCCCAATGAGTTTATTTATTGGTACATGCACAAATACATAAGTAAGCCTTAAAAACCTTTGTCATGCAGGAGAACAGTTAGCATAATTCAGAGAAAGACAGCAAGAAGATACAATCAGAGTGGGATTCGAACTCGCTACTTCCAAAACGTTCTACACAGCGTTTGAGGGAATGATGTCACAATGATGTTGATTCGAATTCTGCTTCCGGCATGCATAAAACTCAGCAACTGGCGTAAAATATACACAGCGGTAAATCCCCCTAGTGACGGGCTGACCATGAGAGATTTTCTTGGTTTTCTTTCTCCTCTTACTCAAATGTGGATTAGTTCCATCAAAAATCTACTTTCTACCAATAATGCTTGATCTAGGAGCTCCCTCTGGGTTGGGTTCAAAACTGCAAGGCTACGGAGTGGAACACATAATCGTAGTCACAATAATGGGTTGGTTTTTCAACGCTGGTTATGATTAAAAAAAATTGGAAAAGGTCAAGCCAAAATATTGAAATATAAAAATGCAGAGACACAATAAAGCAAAAAGAGTTTTAAATCTTTCGATATTTTTTTAAAAGAAATATTTCTTTAGCCAAAACATTTTCTAAAGAAATGCTGTTCAGAGGTTTATTTCAAGAATTAGAGACTAAGTATAATTTATTTAAAGTAAAGGAGGATTTCAAATATTTTTTCTATCGATAGCGATAAAAACCAGTTATAATTTGATTCTATTAAAGAAGACAAAGCATGGCATTCAATTTCTAAGAGGGGAAGGAAGGATGAAATTTGTATATATTAAGAGGGAAATTTTTACAATATCTCAATACTAAGGAGGACAAACATTAACGATGTCCCTGAGACAGAAGTATGCGAAACTTCAAACGTTTTTATCTTAAAAATATTATGCTTTTTAATTGTTAAGACACACTGATATGACTCTTATTTTATACTACGGAATAATTAAAATTTTAATCGATTAATATGAATGGATGGTTGACTGAAATGTAAATAATAAGAAGCTTTTTAAGACCGGACGGAATGTAGAAAACTTCCGGTGTATCCCTCCGCTCACGTTATGCTTACGAGGTGATCTGTGAACAGGCTTAATGTTCTGGGAAGTTTTATTATTGTGATTTGGGTTTAAATTTACGCATAAATTTTACCATTCACCAGAGTTTTCTGTAATTTATAAATTAAAACAGGTAGTGAGTCTAAAACAAATTGAACAAAATTAATATCAAAGCATAAAGCGTAAGGTTAGCCATGTTTTGAGTGCCGTTATTTGGCTATACTTGTGTGAAACAGCACCGTTTGTTATTCTTTGGGAAGCATCATAGCAAGCTTTCTGTTGTTGTTTGTTTCGTTGAAAGTTAGATTGAAAGAACGTGTTATGGTGAAAACACAACAATTGGGTATATTAAAACGATATTGTTTGTCTACGATATTGATACTAAAAAAAATGTCTTTTTTTGTCTACGATAGGTACTCTGTCCGCCATTCGTCTGGAGGGGTGGCGGGGACTATGGTAACGAGGTATGATTATTTCAAGTAGGGGTGCGGGGTCCCTCTTTAAGACTGGTTTCGGTGGGAGAAAAGGAGACTTCTTTCTTCGATCTATTGTATTAGCCCTAGAGTTAAGAGAAATGAGCNTTTTTTCATATTATACCCAATTGTAATGATATCTGAAGGTGCGTTTTTTCAAGCTTAGACGTAAGAACTGATCGGAATTTTGACCCCTAGTGACGAATTTTGACCATCAGCTTTACACGGCAAACCATCAACTGTTTTATTTCCTTAAAAAAAAGAAAGAAAAAATAAGTAATTTTTCAGCTAAATTTTTTTTTTAAAGGAAATAAAAGAAAAGTTTCTACAACGATCAAAGTTGTTGTTGTTGTAGTTCATTTACGTCGCACTAGAGCTGCACAATGAATGGGCTATTGGCGACGGTCTGGGAAACATCCCTGAGGGTGATCCGAAGACATGCCATCGCCATTTTGATCCTCTACAGAGGGGATGGCTCCCCTGCTTTAGTAACCCGACTACCTGCACGCGAAATCGAGCACAACGATCAAAGTTATTTACAACAATCAAAATAACACATAGTCAAAAAATTTTGACAAAGGAAAGCAGATTTGACATTTTATATTATGACGTGATGAAAAGACAGCTCCAAAGCCTTAATCCAACACTCTCCCAATCTATTTTAATTATGGGTGATTTTAACACTAATTAGGAAACTGATTTGGTTCGCTTTGAGACTTCTTTAAATTTTCAAAAAATATATTAGAAATAGTTCTTGCATCGCAAAAATTTATAAAAAATTCGAAAATTGTATGGCATGCATTACTAATTAACAGGCATCATTGATTAGTTAAAAACACACTACACAAAAATAATACATGCGAGCTATGGTGGCTCAGGGGATAAAGCGTTCGCCTTCCAATGGGTAAACTCGAATAGGTTCGCATCGGAGCGATGACTGGTCGATACGAATTACTCACCCGACTCTCCCCGACCAGAGTACTGGCATAAAACATCCTCCATGGTAGACGGATTATGGGTTAGAGTCCCCTTGCCGTCAGGCTTACCGTGGAAGGGTTTCGTGGTTTTAATCGCCATTTAACGAAAATGCGAGTTAATTCCATAAGAAAAGTCTTCCGAAAAGACAAATTTCGTCCAATATTTGATCCATGAGTTCCCTTGTCTTCTAGATTGGGTTCAAAATCATAAGTCTACTGAGTTGAACATTAATAGTCGTGAACCCAAAATTGGGTCGGCTGTTGAACGACGGTCATGAAAAAATAATAAATAAATAAATAAAAATATGCTTCACGACAAGACAAGTCTGACCGACCGGGTATCCCAAAAATAATTTATATATTTTAAAAATAAATAAAAGAACGGAACACGATAAAAATAGCATAGTTTGCGACATTATGCTTGGGAAAATGAGAGGTTTTTGTGGTACTTTATTTACATTGCACTAGAGCTGCACAATGAGCTATTGGCGACGGTCTAGGAAACATCCCTGATGGTGATCCGAAGACATGCCATCGCCATTTGGTCGCAGAGGTGATGGATCCCCTGCTTTGGTTGCCCGACGACCTGTGGGAAAAGTCGAGCACTTCACGATATAACAGTTTAACGAGGACCCATACCGCTAACCCTCGGCCCTTACGCATTCTCATTGTTGGCGAGAATTCTATTTAAGTTAAGGAGTCTTTTCCCAGACAGCTATCAATTTAAGACCTTACTGATTGTATGGCGAAATACCGACTCGAGATTTCTTGGATTCATTGTATCTGAATCTCTCGCATGTCTGCATCGCCACCAATTCGCGGGAAGTTACTTGTATGGATGGTTGACCGTGTAAAGCTAAGCGCAGATGGAGCTAACGATTAAAATTTGTCGTAATACTTCCGGGTTACTGCTTCCGATTAATTTTTACTCCTAAGCTTGAAGAAACGTCTCATCCAATAGTATTATACTTGTAGTGTTTTCAATATAACGCGTTCTTTCAATCTAACATTCAATGAAACAAACAACAAATGAATTCGGAAGACACCGCAAGCTTGTTATGATGCTACCCAAAAAATATCAAACGGTGCTATTTTACACAAATATCTCTAAATCAGGGATTCTCAATAGCAACGCTCTAATAGCCATCTGGGGAAAAGACCGGTTCCATGTCTCTTCCCTCCCCTCCTCTTATGAATGTACTACGATATTTTCCCTTTTCTTAATATATTTTAACATTTTATTGTCCCAAATATTTTATTGAAATTTACATGACCCTTTCTTTTTAGAACTATGTTCAATTCAGTTTACAGTTTAGTATAGTTTCCTAAGTTTAAAATTTTTTAATCTGTTTGAAAATCAAGAGAGAAACTGGCGTACTTCCTTCTCCTATGGCTCTCCACACGCTGTTGGTGAAAGCATGCTAAGTGTTGCAGTCGGTAAAGAATTCTGCTGTACGCCACCTATAGCCCATTTCGATAGCCAATAACACTCAAAACATAATTAATCTTACACTTTTTTAATGCTGTGTTACCAATTTTCAAAATTTGTCGGGTTCTCAAGCGTAGGCGTATGCAGAGTAATATATAGTTAACTTCTTAAGATAGCAAATAACAATTTAATAAAATAACTTATATTTACATATTTACAACTTGCTTATTATCAATAAAAAAATACAATTTTTATCACAACAAAAAAGGAGGGTTTTTTAATAATCCTAATTCTATTATTGTACTATTGTATTGCCACTCACTGAGTTATTTTAGGATTGCGACGTCTTAGAATTTATGAATTACAGAAAACTCTTATAAATGGTAAAATTAAGAGTTATAATTTAAACATAAATCACATTAATAAAACTTTCTAGAATATTAAGCCTGTGCACACATCGCCTCGTAAG